GGCGGGGGGGAGCAGCGGGGGCGGGACCATCGCGGGCAGGGGGCGGGCTGTGGGGCAGGGCCGGGCCGGGACCGAGGGTCTGCTCGTAATGTTCCTACGTAATATTCCTCGCCATGTAGGTAATAATACGTGTATTGATGCATTCCATATAATATATGTTATATTAAATAGTATTATATATAGATCACATTCACATAAAATACCTATGTATTACATATGTTTATATAAACACACGCGTATGTATATATAGATGTTATAATATGTAACAGTGTATGTACATGTGTAATAAATAGCTCTATGCATTACGAAGAGTGCCGTTCCACAACGCTCTTTGAAGCAACTCTGGGTTGCTGCAGGGCAGCTGTAGCCGTGGTTTTCCTGCTCACCTTGGCAAACCATGGGGCTGAGCTCCTGTGGGATTATATTGCTGCAAGCACCGCCCCGTGGGATGCTGCGTGGTTAGAAATGGGCAATGAGGTCATCTCACCGTGGCAAACAGGAAAATGGGTCCATAAGTAAGCCCTGTTCTTCAGGTGTGCTCTGTATGTTGTAAACATTTCGGAATTCCCCAGCCAGCTTCTGTTTTCTGCCTGCTTCCAGGCAGGGAACCACAGGTGGAAGAAAACCCAAGGAACCTATTTACAGATTCTGAGAATCAGCCTGGGATAGTTATAAAAGGCTGTCTGGCAGCCAGTCATCTCTCAAGGAGCCAAGTTTGGGTTATGCACATGTGCTTAATTTAGCCACTGCTTAATAATATATGAACAGTAAACTGCAAGCCTCAAAATATGAGATCGTTTTCAAAGGAAAGAGGTTGAATAAAAATCAACAGGGGATAGTCTCTGAGGCTTTGAGGATGAGCTGACTGGTCTAATAGAAGGTAAGCAAGCCAGAAAGGCTCTCTGCCAGGAATTTCTCTGTGATCTTTCAGAGGCTAATATGCTTGAAGAACATTGACCACCTGATGTCAACTGCTTTTAACCACAGCCTCCTGCCTACCCAATGAATACACTAGGCATTGCCATGCTCAGTAAACATGTGGAAGCAAAGCAGATGAAGCCCCAAGAGTGGCATGCACGGCTGGACTTTGCCCACCCATCCACAGCTCCTGCATGAGAAGTGTCTGACAAGCACATGTGCTGCTGGGGCAGGTAGATTTGTCCTGGGGCTGGGGTCAGGATGTGCTCAGCTGGCAGTGATGTGAGCTCTGCTGGTGCTGTCTCTAAAGCACCCTGCAACCAGCAAGGGACTCTGTGTTGCTGCATGTCCCATTTCTTAGCCATGTCCTATGCTGCAGACCTCCAGGACAGCCAAAATGCCTCTGTGTCCCCACCGTGTCCCACGGTGTGGGACATCAGAAACACCTGGCCACTTTCCGTGGAAGATGGCTAGCTGGTAGGATCTGGGCCAGCTCCTTCCTTGCCTGTGGCACCGCTTGTCAGCCTGGTGTATTTGCATTGTCTTACCAACAGTTCACCATCCTGGGTCCTGAATGGAGTTTCCGGCCAAATTCCGGGGAAAAATTGCTCTTGCGGGCCTCTTCCCACCTGGGCAGCCGGCAACTCGGCACCTGATAGCCCTTGCTTGTCTGGCTCCAGGGGCTGTGAGTGTGGGAGACAGCAGGGAAGGTGGATGGATGCTGGTGTTGGACCTGACCTCCTGGATGTCCATCTGCATATTCAGGAGTCGTTCCCAGCTGGTTGGCTGCCTCCGGCCTCCCCACTCCCTCTTTAAAGGCTCTGGGCGCAGCGGGAGGACGCGCAGCGCTGCCTCTGCGGCATCCCGCGTTCCCGGGGCCCGCCCGCCGGTACCCCGCGCCCCGGGGGCTGCCCGCAGCCGCAACACAGAGGGATGTGGCGGCTGGGGAAGGCTGTGGGGGAAATTGCCGTCTGGAGGGATGGCATGCTGCTCCGTGCACGGCTGTCCCACCGAGGAGCACGCAGGTAGCCCATGTGGGGTGGCTTCAGTTTTGGAGAATGCACGCTGACCTCCTCTTCTGAGCATCTTCGTTTCGTTCCTGTCTTTTTCTTGAGGTAAGAGGAGTCTCGGCTGCTTTTCAGTGTTCTGGAGGGTGGCACTAGTGAAAGCTGCCAGTAAGAGCAGGAACCAGAGCGTGCACCTGTTAACTTTGTGGGGAAAGAGCTGCATCAGCAGGAGGAGTTTGCTTAGGGCAGCACCTTCTGGTCCTGCGGTGCCGGGGATGCTGTAGTGAGGAGTCAAAGCCACCCAGAGCGAACTGCCATGGCCTGGGACAGGAGGGTCTGCTCCCTCCCTCCAAAGCTCCAGAAGAAAGATAGTGGTGCTGGAAACCTTAAGTAAGTGAAGGTCACCTTGCCAGCTCAGGGTTGATCTCCCTAAAGGAGGTGTATCACCCAGGTTCCAGGGGGCTGGGAAAGCCTCAGCACAGGGGACAGGTAAGCTCCTGACCTTGCTGTTGAGCACAGCAGATAAAACAAGTGAGGTTGCAGGACCACACCACTGAGGAAAGGATTAAGGGTGGATGGAATCCATGACTGCAGTGTGTTTGCTGTGTGACTTTGTTGGGTGCAGATGGCAGGCTGAGAGGCAGCTGCAGGCAATGGTGAAGCTTGTAACACAAGGGCAAGGCATGATGTGGAGACCTGCTGGCACCCTGGCCTTGTGCTGGCTGTGGATAAATGGAGCAGTTTGAAAGACCCCTACAGCAAACTCTTGGGAAAATGAAACCCTTATGGTCAGGACAGGTGGGGAGACAACACAGATCAACATGTGGTGTCAGATAATCCAGAAAATACGTGGTTTGTCAAGACTATGGCTCTGCAAAAGGTAAAGCTCTCACAGACACCTGCCTGGAATTCAAGGGTGTTTGAAGAAAGGCAACCTTCTAAAAACCACTGAGAAGAAACCCATTTTCTACACTGCCTGGAAGACTTGGCATGGTACAGTAACAGGGACAGGAGACTGATGGTGTTAAAAACACTCAGGCATTTCTGGGAATAGCAAAAGAATCTCAGACTTTAAACGTGCCCAGAAAAGACAAGAGCTGTCCTAATTTAGTAGTGCAAAGCCACTGCTAATTATTGTGGATAAGGAAGAAACATCCCACAGGGACGATTACTGTGTAATTACCCAGGATACAATGTTTTACACCTTCTTTTGCAAAGCTGTGTAACCGGGGAATGAGTGGAGGGGGTGGATCCCTGCTTGGAGCCAGCATGACAGTTTTAAGCCTAGGGCTGCTGGCTCGGTATTTTTTCTCTCCCCTGATAATCCCCATCCTCATTTCTTTTATTCAGTGTTTTGCCAAGCACTTAGGAACCCCATGTCGTGTTAGCCTGAACATCTCGGTGTATCCTGCCTACAGCAGGTCTCATTGCACTTTTCCCCTCTCCGTGCCCTCCTCCACCAGCCTGTTTGTGCAGGTGCAGCCCCCAGGTGCTGCCACCCATCCCCATGCTCTGCTGGCAGGAGCTGGGGCCAGCAGAAGTGGCAGTGCCCATGGCCTAGCTGCCTGTGTGCCGTGAATACCTTCACCAGGGATGCAGATGCTCTCCTGTGCTCTGCCAACACCCAGGAGCACCCAAGCCCACCTCTTTGCCCAGGTGAGTGTGGCAGAGGGCTCTGCCTGGTGCTCCCTGACCTCATACCTGAGTCCACGAGCCCTGAGGGCAGTTTCCCCAAATGCCTCTGGTGTAGGTGTAGCTGGTGTTGTGGGAAGTCTGTGCTGCCAGGCACTGCCCGAAAACAGGTGAAATTACTCTGGGCACGATGAATACCTGGCTGGTAGGTGGGAGGTGTGGTGGTGCCCTGGGCTTTGCTGCTGTCCTGTGACATCTGACAGTCTGCTCACAGGTTTTGCAGTGCCTGGAGGTTTATGCCTGGGTCATTCCCTGGTGAAATAATTTTTGCAGGGGAGCAGGGATGCCATGGAAATCTGGGAGAAAAAAAATCTCTGTCCCTGTGCTTGAAAAACTGCTGTATGAGGTCCTGTTTCTTGCTCTTTCTCCAGTTCCACACCAATAACAGGCTGAAACATCAAACATCTGGGAAGCCTGCCAGTCTGTCCAGGCAGGAAGAAGATACAATGGACAGCAGGACTGGCTTTGAGCAGGACAGAGACTGTGTCACTTCAGGGCATGGCCAGGGGCTGAAATTGGAACCCTGTTTCCAGACTGACTCTCTTTTGCCTTCCCCCAATGCATCTCTGATGCCACAGTTCCTCAGCCACACAATGGCTGGCAAGAACCTGGATCCCACCATCCTTTTCCCTTCTTCTCAGGCAGTGGCCCTGCCTCATGAGTACAAATGTGGTACATGTCCTGGAGAAGAAGCACAAGCCCTGGCTTTCCCCAGGACCCGTGCCCTGGCTCCTGTGCCCTGTGCTGGTGACCAGCTCTCCAACCAGCAGCCACGGGAGCAGCTCTGCGACCAGCACTTACGAGCCAAACGGGCCAGGGTGGAGAGCATCATCCAGGGCATGAACCTCCCACCAACCCCTCAGGCATTTGACACGAGCCCAGAAGCAGCTTTCAGGCATGAGAGGGAAAGGGGTGGTGAGATGCCCCAGGAGAGCAAGAGAAAGCCAAGGGTGCCCCAGCAGGGCGAGGGGGCAGCTGGACGAGTGGCTCCCACAGGGGAAACTTCCCATGCCAAGGGCTGTCGGCAGCTGAAGGAGCAGCTCTGCTTTTTAGAGCAGCAGTTGAGGTGGCTTCAGGAGAAGTTCTACCAAGTCTGTGACTCTGAGGATGCTCCCCAAATCCAGGAAGAGTCTGAGAAAGTACAGCCACTGCCTGGAAAGGCAGAAGACAGACTGAACAAGGACAGTGCTACTGCCACCAGCAACCCACACAAAGTGCCTCTCAGGAGGCGTGTCCTGAGTGGGCTGGAGGAGGCTGAGGACAGAGGTGACACAGGTGGCCTGCCCTCGGTGGTGAGGGTACTCTCACAGTCACTGAAGCACGAGCTTGCTGTGGTGACATCCCAGGTAGTGGACTCCGTCCTGAAGGCTGTCTGGCCGAAGGCAGACAGACACATCCAGAAGCAGCACCACAGCCTTCCGATGCTGGGGCCAGGTGCCAGGAGAGAGTATTCTGCTGGCTGGAAATGCAGAAAGCCACTTGCTAAGCCATCTCCCATGAGTGCACCAGGCTCCCTGGGCTCACTTCAAGCTGAGGTCCTGCCAGGAGCTTTGGGGAAGAGCCCAGGCTCTTATACTAGCTCCTTCAGTTCAAAGGGGGTCAAAAAATCCTCTCAGGTACCCAGCATGGGTTATTCACTGGGCTTGGCCACCCCTGCCCAGCACAGCCAGCTGCTGAGCCAGCTGTTGGGCTACAGCCAGCACAACCCCTGGGGCAGCGACCCCCATGAGAGCCCATCTGCTCTGGAGAGGGATTGTCCAGAGCCCCTCAACTTGCACTGGGGAACCATTAAACTGAGGTCATCAACTGTGAGACAGCAGCAGCACCATCCCCTGCCCCTGAGCCCTGCCAACATGGAGAGCCTGGCACTACTCCCGGCTGGCAGGGATGGCCACAGTGAGCTTCCAGCTGCAAATGACAGAGTGCCCTTTGCCTCGACCCATATATCCTTTGGGGGCAGCTACAGGTCCCTGGGGAACGTGCTCCCCTTGTCCTCTGGAGCCACAGCTTGGCACTGTCCCTACCAGTCTCTGCAAGGCCAAGGTCCCTGCTTCTCCATAGGGGGATAGAAAGGTGTGGGCAGGAAAGGAGTCCTAAGCTACAGCGGGGCACTGCCACTCCTCAGGATTGGTCAGATGCTGTAGCATAGCTGTGTGTATAAGCCAGGAGCTACCAAGCCTGCTCTTGGGCCACACTGGGGGTCCTGTTATCCTAAACTAATCAACAGGTGTCTCATGGAAATCCTGGTTCTCACAAGACTGGGAAGTGCTTTGGGGAGCATTAGCTTCCTCAGGGATTCTCAAGGGAAAAACCAGTGGCAGCCAAGGATGAACCCCCTCTGTCCCACTGACAGGCCATGAGGGGCTATTGTGGGCACTGGGCGTGTATGTGTCCGGGGTGGTGCTCAGGAACATGCCGAGCTCGGGGTTTGCTACGCGTAGGCTTTCCTTGACCCCAAGGCAGATGCAGGAGGCGCTGACCCCCGGGCACCTGAAGAAAGCCAAGCTGATGTTTTTCTTCACCCGCTACCCCAGCTCCACTCTGCTGAAGACCTACTTCCTTGATGTGCAGGTAAAAGAGCAGCTAGAGCTGGTGCTGGGCAGGGCTCCCATGTGGTGTGGTACCTAGCCTGCCTCCCTGGGGAACCACGAGGAAAAGGCTGCTCTTGTGTTCCTGTCTCTTGCTGGCAGGAGATGGGGGATAGCACCTATTTCAGCATGGGCTGCCCAGGAGCAGGTGCACAGGGCTGTGGCAGAGCTGGGCTGTCAGCTCTTCACTCTGTGCAATCGAGGTATTCAGATTAAAGCACACCATAAGTGTGCCTTCTCACTGCAGGGCAGCTGGGATCCAAATCTCGGTGTGGAGAACACCTCAGACACCCTGATGTCATTGCCCCAGCTGGTGCTTTTGCAGCCTTGGGGCAGGGCTGGTTTTGGGCCCGTCCAGCAGTGCTTGGCTGGGTTTGCAGGGGCTCATGGGTAGGGAGGATCCAAGCTGGCATAACACCATCCTCTGGCTCTCCCCCCACCAGTTCAGCCGCTGCATCACCTCCCAGCTCATCAAGTGGTTCAGCAACTTCCGTGAGTTTTACTACATCCAGGTGGAGAAGTTTGCCCGGCAGGCCCTGCTGGAGGGTGTTGTGGACGCTTGCACTCTCCAGGTCTCCCGGGACTCAGAGCTCTTCCGTGCCCTCAACATGCACTATAACAAGGGGAATGACTTCGAGGTGAGCAGGGGGATGTGGGGGAAGGGGGGGGTGGTGTTTGCAGGGGTAAGGAGGAACCATGCCCTGGTGGTGTCACTGGCTGATGCCTGTCTCGCTGCAGGTGCCAGGGCGGTTCCTGGAGGTGGCCAGCCTGACACTGCAGGAGTTCTTCAGTGCCGTCAGGGCAGGCAAGGATGCCGACCCCTCCTGGAAGAAACCCATTTACAAAATAATTTCCAAACTGGACAGTGATATCCCAGAAGGGTTCAAAGCTGCTGGCTGCTCCCAGGAACTGCTCCACAGCTGAGCCTTTGTGAAAGCAGCCCTGGGTTGTATGTGCAGCCACCATGTGCTAAGCACCTCATGGGCACGCTGTACAGTACCTGTTGTTTGGGGTATTCTCTCTGAGGGCCAAGCCTCTCTGTAAGACAGCTCCTTAGGTAAGGCCTATCACTTGCCTCGTGCTGGAGTTTTATGCTGTGTGTTTTATTTGCTGCTCAGAACTGGTGGGGACCGCCAGAAGGGAGGGATAGAGACAAAGCCATCAGGCTGGAGCCTGAGAAGTTGCCCTGGCCCAGCTCTCCCCACGACCCTGGCTGAGCTGCCTTCATTCTCTCTTCCAGAGGGTCATAAACCAGGGCAAACAGCCTTGCTGTTTATAAAACAGGAAGAGGTCCTAGTAGTGGGCAAAGTTTCCTTGGCACAGCAGACTAGCGGATGTGCTGAGTCCAAAAGCATGACTCAGTTTCTGTCCAGATACAACACACCAGTGTCCAAAGAAAACAGCTGGTGAATTCCAGCATTTCAAGCACTCCATGGGGATAGTTGTTCCTGTCTGGGATATGTAAAAATGATGTTTGTTGTAGCCAGCAAGAACAATACTCTCCTCCACCTCCCCAGTGCTGTTAGACAAGACCCTCCCCATGCAGCTGTGTGCTGTAGCCAAGTGTGTGCTCCCCAGCAGTGTTCTCTGGGATGCTGGAGGAGAGCAGGGTGCACAGCCAGCACTGCTTGGCACTCCAAAGAGCTTCCATCAGCCCATCACCTGGGAGGATAACTCCATGTTAAACACCCACACATTTTTCCTTTCACCCTGTTCCTGCTGGCAAAACTGCCCCACGCATCTCTGTTCTGCACCCTGCCCTTGATGAGAGAGAACGTTATTTGGGATCCATCAGTCCCTGTGGGTTTAACACAAGCTGGGGAAGAGCTGGGCCTTGACATCTACAACTCCATTACTGTAAGGGTTGTAGAGGAGGTTTCTTTATCCTGTGGCCAAGGCTTAATGACTGCTTTTCTCCCTGATGGAACATGGAGCTTTGTGTTAAGGGCTCTCTAATCCTGACAGAGGTGGCAATGGAAAGGAAAAGGAAGAGGAGGGAGTCCTGACAGAGGCATGGCACGAGGGCACTGGGAGGACAATGATGAGCAACAACATACCCATGCAAAACCCTCAGGGAGAAGACTGGGAAAAGGCCAAAATAATTTTGGGAGTGCTGTAAGGTGTCAGCTGGTATTAGAGTGCAGCAAGTGACTCTTGAGAGGAGAATCGCAGCTCCAGCATCAGATGAGCACATGGGGTGATCCACAGGCACTGCATCTACAGGAGTAAAGAAGTGGTAACATCAGGACACAATGGAAAGCTCTGAAATAGGGGCAGTGGTTCCCCCCATCATGAGTGTGGCCATACAGATTTCCTGCTACTTTTTGTATTTTTATTTCTCCAATTTTGTGTATTTTACAACCCCAACACCAAATTTATTTGATTCCTTTTTAAATAAACACATTATTTAAGTCATCCCTTAAGACCCCTTAAGGTCTCTATAGACCTATTTGATAATGTCTGCTCTAAAGAGTTATCCTAAGAATTTCTTGCTATTTGTTGGGAAAAAATAACACTCCAGCAAAAGGGCAGTCCTCCTGCCAGCATCTCTGTGGGGTCAAGCAGGACACACTAACCAACACCAGCTCCTTTAAACATGCCCCTCACCCCTATGCCTCATGGTTAGTCTGCTCTGAAGTGCAGCTTGTGAGGATCAGGAAGGGGGGGAGCTGGGGGCAGACAGAGACATATCCCAAAGCTTATGGGTGCTGGACTCACATGTACAAACATTGGATAAATGCTGCTGCTGGTACCATGAATGTGCCATTCCTGCAGGCAATAATGGCCTCAGACCTTAAGTAATGCTTTGGATAGGCAAAACCAAAACTGCTGGAAAGTGAAACGATGGCCTGGCTCAGGGAAGGGTCAGCAAATTCATCTGTCCGTAGCTGAATAATCAGAGAACATAAGGGACAGGTTTACTGGAGACATCCTGCTGAAACAAAGCCTTTTTACACAGCGCTCCTGGTGGGGGTAGCAGTTTCTTGCTTCCTGTGGTAACATGCAAGCCTGTGAGTGTCAGTAAAACAGCAGGTGGGGGACAGAGGACAAGACAGTGCCCCAGATCAGAGTCATGCAATGGCTGAGGTTGTAGGAGACGTCTGGAGGTCATCTTGTCAAACCCCCTGCTCTAGCATGGCCATTGAGAGATGGTTGCCCAGGAGTGCCAGAGGGGTTTTAGGTATATCCAAGTAAAGAGGGACTCTACAACCTGATCATTAATGAAGACATTTAACAGGACTAGACTATTTGCAGCAGTATATGTTGCTCCAATGCTTACCATATAATTACAAGTAGGAACTAGAGAGCTGTGTATTACACTGGTTTTTGTGAAATGTGGGCCAGTATGACCATGACAAACAGCATCTGGCATCAGCTATCCTTTGCTTGTGATGAGGTCTCACTACTTGTATCCATGGGTTCAATTCTGCCCATGTAGATTTTCAATATGACAAAGAAGACATAGAGAAACAAATCCAAGAAACCCCAAAACAGACAAAAAAACATCCGAACCCTCCCCCCAACCTCCCCCACACCAAACAACAACAAAACAACCAAAAAGCCCCCCAGCATGGCCAGAGAGACTCTGCAAAGGACTCAAGATCACAGAGAACTTGTATTGGCTGGCATCTTCTTTGGCAGCTTTTTAACCCATTTACCTTCAGCCAAGTGTGACAGAGACCACAGAAGTGTCAGAGATGGAGAGGTGGCATCTACCCACCTTTTTGTCACCCTATGCTTCTCCTGTAATCAGAGATCCTGTCTGGGGAGCCTGGGGTGCAGCTGCCACCTCCAGGGCCACTTGTCTGTTTGGAAGCAGGGGGGTTGCACTCAGTGAGGCACAACTCTGCTGCTGAAGTCAAGTGAGCTGAATCAAAACACCTTTGCTCCTGTGAAAGGCTTGGAAAGCAGCAGCCAGCTGGGTAAGAAGGAGATCACACTGCCTTCCCTCCTATCTAGGTCACAGAAGTACTGATATGGAGAAGGCAGTACATCTGCTGGGAGATGGGGAAAGCTGGAGTTACTCTAGGGGCAATGGAGTCTGAAGCATGAGAAAGATAGGGTGTGAATTCCACACTGTCCAATCACTAGTGTGGCTCTGCAGGGCTCCAGTTCTCTTCAACATCCTCATTAATGACTTATGACTCAACAGAATACTAAGAATACTAAGTTTACCAATGTCAACTCCCTCGAAGGCAGAGAGGTCCTACAGAGAGACCTCAACAAATCAGACAGATGGGCAATCACAAATTGTATGAAGCTAAACAAGGGCAAGTGCCAGACTGTACGTGGGATGGGGCAACCCTGCCCTGGTTGTGTGTCTCCAACATCCTCAGAAGGTGAAATGGAGGGGCAGGCACTGATTTCTTCTCTCTGGTGACCAGTGACAGGACTTGAGAAAATGGCATGAATCTGAATCAGGAGAGGTTTAGTTTAGAAGGTTCAGGAAAAGGTGTTTCACCCAGAGGGTGGTTGGGCACTGACACAGGCTCTCCAGGGAAGCAGTCACATCCCCAAGCTTGACAGAGTTCAAGAATTATTTGAACAATTCTCTCATACACGTGGTATAACTCTTGGGATGTCCTGTGCAGAGAGGGGAGCTCAATGTTGATGATCCTGGTGAGTCCTTTCCAACTCAGCATATTCTGTGCTTCTATGAAATTAAGGTTTCAATGCTTGTGCTGTGCAGGGTATGGTGTGTAATGTCATTTACGTTCTAGTCGTACCCAAGACAGAGAAGCTAATTTTCAAACAAAGCCTAATGGGTACCCATCACAGAGAGATTCCTACTGAAAAAGTGGGTCTGTTTGGAGGGCTGAGGGGACAAGGGAGAGCTGCTGTCCACACAGACACTATAGTCATAACTCCCAGGCTTGGCTGGGCTCTTGCTTCACCATTTCCCACTAATTAGCCAAGGAAGCAATTTAGGTAGTGCAGTCACTACTGCTGAGTTTCATCTCTAAATAAAGAATCCTTTCCTTCCCTCTAACCAAATTTCTGTGGTATATGCAAAAAGCCCACAGGCTATAACTATCTCCTCTGGGAACAATTCTGCAGGGCTCTCCTTTTACATTTCCAATTGCATTCCTAGCCCATTCACAACAACACACTGAGACCACACAGCTATACAGCAATAAAGGATGCTAAATATTTAAAATCACTGATTCCTGCCTCCAGGCTGTGACTGCCGAAAGAGGGAGGTGTGACCACACTGACTAAGCTGGCAAGGGCCTGAGAGCCCTTATGTACTCCTCTATGTTAATACTTACCATAAGAGCCCCTATTAATCATGTGTAGCTAATTAGAGCTTGAAAAAGTTCCTAGAGAATGTTTACCCTCTGTGCCAAAATAGCTTGGGGGAAACTGACAATAAAACAAATCTGGTTTTTCTTTTCTTCCATTTAATGACTTGCACCTGTCTACAGTGACAGAACCAGCCCTAGCTCAAGTGAATATTTGTGAAAGGGTCCTTCCCTCAAATACACATCTCAGATGCTTATTTGACATAAAGGCAGCTCTCCACGTAAGTACCCCTTGGTGAGCCAGTGGCCCATGTCCATGAAAACTCAGTATTTGCTGTCTCATCACATGCATTAGAAGGACAGATTAATCCAGGTTATAGTGCAATTACCACATTTGAGAGATCTGACTTTTCTCTGGAGAAGACAGCCCTTCCTCTGCCTCTTGTGCACAGAGCTGCCCTGTGCTGCAGACCCAGCACCACCTGGAGAGAAGGGAAGTGATGCATGCACAGACTGGAGAGCAGTCTAAAGGAGTAAACAGGGCAGACTGCTATGTCTAGCTGATAGCAAAAGCTTTTTCCTTTTGCATACCATGAAATAATGTATTAGTTGAGCCATGGACCAGGAGATGGGAGCTGGGGCTCTGCCAGGTGCCAGCTTCATAGCACAACCAGGTGAGTT